GCTACCAGGCACTGCTGGGTGATGGGGATATGGAGATGAATTAGACACAGCCCCTGCCCTCAAGGAGTTCTCAGACTAGTGAGAGTGTACACAGAGAGTTACCAACACTATAGTATGCTCTACAGTGGCGGTATGTACAAGGTACTGCGGGGTTCAGAAGGTAAATCGTTTAACTGAGTCTGGAGATACCAGAGGTCGGAGGAACTGATGCATCAGTTGTTTCTTAAAAGAAAGAAAGGTTGGCCGGGCAAAAAAGAAGAGGGAAGGACCTTAGCAAAGGCAAGGACCCTGGAAATTGATGAATTGGGGAAACTACACAGTTCATGAAATTAGGGTAGAATGTAGGCTTGGAATAGACTCTTAGGTGCCATGAAATTAGGATTTCATTTTTTGTGTCTTAAGAGGATGTTTTTGATGATCACTTTGGCAGTAGTGTGAAGTATTATCTGGAAGATTTTATATCTGGACAGGGAGAACGGAAGGGTGCTGCTGTAGTTAACATGATAAATGATCTAAGCCTAGAAATAGAAATAGAGAAGGGGTACTCTCTTACGTGGTTATAAAAATGAATGCAATAGAACATGGCGGGCCCTCCTTGGGGCCGCAGTGGGTTAAGGTACAGCACTGGGAAGTTAGCAACAGCTGCTTCAAGTGCTTGTTTGAGCCCCTGCTGGGGAGGTGACCCACATGGCACAGCAGCGGACCTCTGCTGTCCCACTTGTTGCTCCCCTCAGCAGTGTACTTCTCAATCTGTCTGTTCTGCTCCCCACTCTGCCTCTGGTGAATTCTCTCACTGCTCTTGCACCCCTGGCCTGTACCCCAGTTCTGTATGCATAACTAAGTAAATCTTAAAAAAAAAATTAAAAAAGCAGAACATGGGAAAATTAAGGTGTTGAAAAGCAAAGAATCTGGACTTCAAGACTTTGAAGAAAACATGTGCATACCTACTCCCAGCCATAGCCTTGATGAAAGATCCTTTCATTTTCCTTGGGTAGATGTTGCTGTTGGATTAGGGCTTAGTTAAACCATTGTGCATGCTTTTTAAGGGGCAGCCATATATAAAATGTTGATTTTCAGGAAAACATCAGAATAGCTGTAGACCTCATAGTACTATTAAGTTTCTGAGCCTCATCAGTAAGAGGACTACTCTCAAAGTATATATTTTTAAAAAGAAGTGGTGGCTTTTATACCTGAAACCAACTTAGTGAAGAAAAAGTCTTAGTTGTATTGTCTCAGTGTTTGTGATTATACCTCCACGTAAAAAATATTCAATGATTTAAATATCTAAATATATTCTGTGTTCATCTTTTCTGCATACAATGTTCTGAATACAATGTTCTCTGGGAAATTCCCCATTTAAGACTCAGTAATGACCCTGAAGATTCAGAGACTGGCTCTCTGTGACTAGAATGATTAATGAGATGTTATATTTCAGTAGAACAGCCTATTTCAGAGGACTGGAAGAGAGGGTTGGGAGAGGACGCCCTACCTAGGGCAGTGAGACAGTACGGTGAGCATTTGGGCCTTGGGGGTAGGTGGTCTGGGCTGGAATCTGCTTTCACATTTAACACTGTGGTTTTGAGCATGATTGTTCACATCTGTGGGACTTCGTTCTGTAAAATGAGGGTGGTAATTATCTGTTTGGGTGGTAGTTATCTGTTTGCAATGATGGGTGGCAAGATGGGGGTTAAGTGGAGCCACTAATGTAAAGGACTTAGGACAGGCTGATTACGCTGAATGCTATATCAACAACAGTTGCTGCTGGTAATGATGTTGGCCATGACAAGGATTAAAAGAAGACAGTTAACTAGAGGTGCTTATGTTTTATGTGATCAGTGAAGATGTTGGGATTTGAAAAATAATGAAAAACTAACTCACCTGAAAGATTTTAATGCTACACTAGCATGAAGTCTCTTCTCTGCCAAACAGATTGGGAAAACATGAGTAGTTTTGTCCATGCCCTGATCACTAATCTATGGCCTTTACTATTATTTCCAAATAGTAAACTGTTGAAAAGTTGTGTTATATCCAAATAAAGGTTATTCTAAAAACAAAAATGTCTGAGTTTGATCAAAACTGAATTGGAAGCCTCACTTAACTGCTTACTAGTTCTGTGATCTAAGGCATGTTACTTAAACTCACCAAACCTCAGTTTCTTCATCTAACAATTTTCAGGCTTGCCAGGAGGATGTCTGTATATTTCAAAGTATATTTCATAAGAGATCTATAAATTACAGCAATCACTGTTAGTTCTTGGGACTCTCACTGCGTGACAGAGACAACAGCAGGCCCTGGTGGCTGGGAAGACATCATGGATCCAGCAGCAACGTGGAGTGATGCTCTTCTGAAGAAATCCTACTCGGATGGATATAATACAACCTGCTAAGTGTCCTAGCACTTATCAGGTTGTATTATCATTGTCCGTGTCTATGGCTCTCGTCTACCAGACTAAATTCCTTAAGGACAAGGACAGTGCTTATTCATCTTTATATTCACAGTGCCTAATCCGGTGCACATTGTAGGCCTCATTAAATGTTTGTTGAATGAAAAAATGAATCATCAACAGACATTAATTGGGCGCCTGCTCTGTGATCTCCATGGGCTCAGCTTGTCCCCGCCAGTTGTCTACAACGACCAAGCTGTCTTCAGTGTGCTTGCTGCTGAAGCTTACTTCCTACCTTCTAACACTTTGGCCAAGGTTTTCTGTGTAGCACAAAGTACCATCTCCAACTGACTGACTGATTACATTTTATAAAATGGATTCTGAAGCCAGGTGTGAAAGAGGGTTATAACCAACTAGTGATGTTTGCCGGGGGTGGGGGTACCAGCACAAGCACCATATATGTGTTCTACTTGCTATTGTGTTTTCCATGAAGTATTCTTGTTTCTGTGCCTGTATTCTAGTCTTGACTACTTGCAGATGTTGACTAGCTGCTGCTGCAGTTGGCTGCCAGTTGCTCCTTGGGTGGGACCAGAATGATGATTGTCTGATCAGAAACTTCACCCTCACAATCAGGCTTGCTCCTGTGACTGGTATTTACAGTTTTCCCCTTGCAACATTACCTCCGCTATCCCCTTAACTACAGACAGGTATGCCTCTACTTTACTGTTCACAGCTCACCAAACTCACACTTCACATTTCTTATTTAGTGTGATTGATGATTATTGCTTCATGAGAAGTCTTCCTGTTTACAGATGTGACAAGTAGAATACATGTTAAACCATTCTTTGGGGGCCCAACAGTGAGACAGAAGCTCTGCTTTAATATGAGGGAAAACTGAGTGTGTGCACAAACCATGAGGAAGGATAATGATAAGGGAATCATTGTAGATGTGAGACAGAATGATGATAACAGGTGGAGTAAGATCCTGAAAGATGATGCAGGTAGCAATGGGGCAGTGAAACCTATGGAATTAGAACATGGGTGGAGATTGGCCATAGATAATTTACCTTTCCACTGGAACCCAGAGATACAGATGAGAGTCAGGAAGAATGCTTGACAAAAATGTTAAAGATTTGTAATTGTCATCGGTGCAAAGGAAGCTGACCAGGGAGAAGATTATGGAGACAAACCATTCTTTACAGAATAGTCAGGTCAAAAGGTTAGAGTGAGGGGTCAATAACAAGAATGCTTTTGGTATCTCAGAGTGAGAAATTTGATTATAAACACAGGAAAACAAAGTAGTCTTGGGCCATTGTCATAGGCAACTTTTAATTGACTGGGTCTGACTTTGCTTGATGGGCGGACTACTAGAACAAGAGGAGTTACACCAAAATGGACTTATCTAGACAACATAGAAGGAGTAGGTCAGACATGAGCAAAGAATCTGGACAGGAAAGAGACTTTAATGTGACCAAGATTGATGGTGAGTAGTTGGAAAACTATGATGATATGACCTATTAGAGAGTAGATTTCGAAATGGCCAGGACAAGAGCTCTCTGAAGCTAAGACAACAAATGGTCATTTACATAGCTGTTGAAATCACCTAGGATTATAGCCAAAGCTATGCTAGGAATGAACACTGTTGACCAGATACAGTAGGCTTCAGAAATTGGGGAATGAGCAAGAGGTTGGCACCTGCAACTGTGTAGATGCAAGAGAAGAGACTATAATGGGATACAGTGAGCCTCACGGGTGCCATGGGAACCACCAGAGAGCACCAAAGCTATGGTGTTTGCACATATAGTGAGATGTTGGCTGCCCAGGTATATTGACTGTTTCCTTTGTTGAGTATTTTTTCTTTGCTGACTACCCTGCCATGTATTTATCCTATTTGGGTCTGTCATGTTCTAGGAATAAGAGAATGAGCAGCAATCCCAGGTGACAGCAGCCAGGGAGCTGCATGTCCCTAGCAGTAATGGAGTCCTGTTGCCACTTTCTAATTCTTTGAAAGGACAGCATAAAGTTGCATAAAAAGTTTTTAGGATCAAAATTTTTCCATAATCTAGACCTACCTTCATTACACGGTACAAATTTTTCTTGTCTGTGTCCCATAATGTACTTTGGCTTCTAAGCCTATGAAATAAGGAAAGAGTTAGTGTTGCTTTGGGGAAAAAAACAGACACAAGTCTACTTTTCAAAAACACGTTAAGTAGAACAAGACATAGTCCTATTATTTAATCAGCTTTTTAAGATAAAGGGTAGACAAACTTCAAATCAATAGATGAATCACAAGGCCACTTTGTGAAAGCTGTTCTAGGATTAGGATACATCTAATGTAGAGGTGCTGTTGTAAATGTTCTCTGATATTGGGAAGGAGGGCCAGAAACGCTTGCAGGAAAGATGGTCCTTAAGACTCAGAAAGTTAAATTTAAGAGAAGATAGCTTCTGTGACCTCTCTGACATTGCATGCAGTCATTTTTCCTTTCTGCACACTTTATTGGAAAGAAGATCTATGGCTTTGTTATTTTCGTCACATGAGTCAATATTCCAGTTAAGATTTAGAGGTACTCCGCTAAGAGTGACAAGGCTGTGAGACAGCCTACCTCCTCCTGTGGAGGCTGCTTTGTATTTATTCCTCAGGGAGAACTGGTGGAGACTTCATGTGAGGAAGAAGAAAAGGAAAGCAGATGATGACCACAGCCTCTCAACACCCAGCTTAACAAAGCTTCGCTCAGCAGTGGGATCGCGCTCTCCAGAACACAGGTTGCTGTTTTCAGTTCTATGCTTTGTCCTCTCATCCCCTTTGTTCTTTCTAGAAACTGTAGCATATGTATAAATTATTATATCCCATAAAAAGCACCTCATGTTCATGGCAAAAAAAAAAATATCCCTAAAATATGGTATAATATTTGTTCAGGTAGGCCTCCGGTTGTCAAAAATTCCTGGGTCCCCAATGCTATAATAAATGTCACCAGAGATGAGCCTGGATTTCAGCAACAAAGGACCCCAGCTTCATGCAAGGAAGACAGTTGAATGATCTGAAAGTGCAGCCTCATGACTAACATAGCACTGATGAAAACAAGCAAGAGGCTTGGGGCCTATGCTGGCTTGTGCATGCTAAGGCTGGGATGAATTTGTCATAGCTAGCTGCCATTGAGGAATGCTCATCAACATGATCCTGATGTCCATGCCACCTGGCCTCATGAGAGCTGCCAGAGGAACTGAGCTAGCTAAGGCCTACAACCCTTTGGCTCCAAGCCTAACACCTCACCTGATTATGAAATACAGTTAGAGAGCTTGCCCAAACCAGTCCTCCTTTCTGACTTGCTCATCAGAAATTAGAAATTGTCTTAGTACCTATGGAATATGAGGGCAGAAATTTTATAGGTTAATTATAAAAAATATCAGGAGTCCTGGTAACCCTTTTTCTCACTTGGGATAGATGGCCAAAGTCTATAAACTGGGAGGGCTGTGCCTTCTAAATACATTCTTAATGAGTCCCTGGGACACCCTTTGTCATTCCTAGCACCTCTCCATTCTTAGGAGTGCTAACACCTTTCATTTCCTCCTCCACCCTGGTTGATTTCAGCAGTTCCTTTTTCCTTTTCTTCTCCCAGGCCATCAGTTACTCACCATAGGGAGGGGCTTTATTGTGAATGAGAGAAGAAAGTCTCAGTAAGTGGTGGGCATGACACTGATTTTCTCAGGATGTAAAGGAAAAATTGGGGGATAAAGGAAAGGGAAATTACAAACTCGTCATGATGATTTTAATGGATGTTAAATCTAGCAATCTAGTAAGTAAGGAAGCTAATTGAGGTCTCTGGTCTTTGAAGATAGGTGTGATCTCCTTATTGCCCTTTGGGATGAGGGAAGAGAGAAAAGTGAGGGAAGTCTTAAAACACTGTAGTCAATATTTTTACTCAGTGGAGCCTTGGCTGAAACTCACTTCCTAAGCCCACCATATATATATATTATTTATTTATTTATTTATTTATTTATTTATTTATTTATTTATTTTTACATGATTTGTGCATTTTTCCATCTCAGTTCTAATCCCCGTGGGTAAGCCCACCATTTTTAAGATGGACTGAAGATCATTTCTTGCACTGCAGCACTGTTGCTACTTGTGAAAATAACTCAGCCACTCTTCTCGGGTAGGACTGCCTTAGAACTGAGTAACAGACTATGCAAGGGTTGAGGACAGCGGAGATAGCACAAATCGGGCCTAACACCTATTTTTTTTTTTTTTTTTTAAGTAGGATGCACAGGCCAGAGGCAGTGGGTAGCATAGATCCAGGTCGTCGCAAGCACCACTTATGACATAAGGAAATAGTACAATGAAAGGCCATCCGTTGGATCTATTCCTCAGACTATGATGGAATATAGAGCTGTTTTGGAGAAGCGTTATAAAAATTTCTTTTATAGAAGAGATTTTAGAATAGGAGAAACTTCCAGTTATACAAAATGGGCATTATAGGTTTTGAAGCCATCTGATCCCTATATGGGTCATGGAGATTGATACCAGTGTCGGCCTGTGGCTGGTTGAGTAAACTAGGCTTCACACTCTCGGGAGAGATGCTACCACTGTTTCTTGCATTGTCAGGTGTCCATCTGCAAAGAGCAAAGAACTTGAAGGAAAGAAAGGACAAGCATCCAGTGGACAACAGTGTGGCCTTCTGACTAAAGATGGCAGCTGGAAAGAGGATTGGGTTGATCTGGGCTTGTTTTTTTAAAAAAAAAAAAATATTTTTCCTGACAAAAATCACAGGTGATAATGTTAAAAAAAGAAAATAGGTATAAATTTAAAAGTAAAGAATACATATAATCTTACAACCTAGAAAATAGTATAATGTTTGATTGTGTTTCCTTTTCCTATTTTTAAAAAAGAATGTATACAACAATTTAAAAACAAAACTGGTATTGTATATATTTTTTACAAATTTGTTTGAAAGTACAAAAGCGTATTTCCACATCATTAGCATCCCTTGAAAATACAATCTTAAATGTAACCTGTGATTTAGTTCATAGTAACTTGGCGATCTTGGTTCGTTAACATTGACAGGTGCATCGTGCTAATACCAGATATAAGTAACAGGGTAACTCTGTAGGACAAGGGACCTGTGGATGCCTCCACCCCCCTCTGATCAACTATTCTGTAAATCCAACATCCTGAAAATTCAAATGTTTTAATGAAAAAATAGAATATCAAGTTTCATATTTCACATGGATCTAAAAATTTAGATCACATGCTGATGGATATTTCAGATAATACTAATTTGCCTATAAAACTGGAATGAACAATACTGTACATCTCAATTTCCTTAGAATAAATTTCAACAATTGTAGTTATACTTTACATAGTTGGAATGATGAGGGCATTTGGCCACCAGAAGTTGTTTGTTGAACCGTCCCCAATATAGTTGTCCAGACTACATTCCTGTCAGTGGTATAAAAATATGATTATTTCTCAAAGAAGTCAAGGTGTGTATTGTTCTACATGTACACAGCTTCATGCACCAACTCCAGTACCATACAGAAATTTTATTACTAATTTATCTTGATTGTTCTTTTTGTTGTAAAACCCTTTGCCCGTTAACAATCCCTGGAAATCATGTGAATGGGATCATATATGCAGTATATGCAATCACATATATCATACCCAATATATAGAATGGAATTGTGCAAAATGTAGACCTTTTGGTCTGGCTTTTTTGCCTAGTCAAATACATTTAAGATTCACCCATAGCATTATGTGACTCAATAGTTCATTTTCTTTTATTGTTGTATTTCACTGTCTGGATGTACCATGCTTTTTTTTTAATCCATTCATTGATTGATGGACATGTGAGATAAATCTCCAGTTTTTGGCAATTGTATGAATAAAGTTACTATAAACTTTGTTACCAGTTTTTTGTGAACATAAATGTTCATTTCTGTAGGGCAAGTGCTTAGGAATGGGAATGAGTGCCAAATTTTCCAAAAGTTCTGGATCATTTTATATTCCCACAACAAAAATATGAATCCCACAGCTTCACCAGAACTTAGTATTACATATATATTTTTAAAATTTAGCCATTGTGGGCCCTCCCTGGTGGCGCAGCGGGTTAGAGCGCAGCACTGAGAATCTAAAGCCGCTTCCACATGAGTTCGATTCCCGCCTGCCCCGGAGGTGACCACATGGTGTGGCAGACCTCTCCTGACCCGCCCGCCCGCTGCTCCCCTCAGCAGTGTACTTCGTCGATCTGCCTGTTCTGCTCCCCACTCTGTCTCTGGTGAACTCTCTCACCCTCCGCATCTCTGGCCTGTACCCCAGTTCTGTATGAATAAATAAATCTTAAAAAAAAAAAATTTAGCCATTGTAGGTGTGTGTGGGTCTGCTACATTTAAATAGGCTGTTCAGCCACCATTTTTTGTTTGTTTGTTTTAAAAGCTATGATTTAAGGATTTTTTGTTTCTACGTAACTTGCAGCAAAAGAAAAAAATGGTGGCCGAACAGGCCGCTTATAATAAACCCACAGGTGTGTAGTGATACTTCACTGTGGTTTTAATTTGTAATTCCCTAATGACATGAGTTTGTACATCTATTCATAAGCTTATCTGGCATCTGAATTTATTGCTTGGTTGAGTATCTTCAATTTTTGGGACACCTTTATTAGGTTGTTCTTGCTAACTGCTGAGTTTTTGGATTTCTTTATATATTCTTGATACAAGCCCTTTTGTTAGATGTTATTTGGACACGGGCTCTCTCAGTCTGTGACTTGTGTTTCCATTAGCAGAACCTTTTTTCAAAAGTTTTTAATTTTGAGGAAGTTCCGTTTGTCAAAACCATGACAGCATAGGTGGGGACGTCACAGTCCTCACGTTGTGAGCTTTCATCCCCTTAAATGTGGGCAGTAGCTGTATCTTGCATATAACTACCAAATATGGCAAAGGGGCCAGGGTGTCACTTCTGTGAAAATGTTACATGTTCTACATACACTTAAAATAGCCTCTAAGTATACAAAGCATTAATTAATACAAGTCCATAGAAAACTGACAGATCCACCAAGTGAGAGTTAAGCAGTTCTTTTCAATTGTTGAGATCACATACACAAATCAATACCATACATAAGATTTACACAATACAGTTTTAACTACTTCGCCAAACTGAAATGGAAAATATACATTACTTTTTGAAGAATTACAGAAAACATAATTCATTTGAAGAACACTTGGAACATTTACAAGATTTAATTCTGTAGCAGATGAAAAAAGTTACAAACTTAAAGAAGAGGTATGATAAAATCTATGTTGCCTTGCCTTACTACAACTAAGTTACACATTAATAAAGGTAAGTGAAACATTTACATGTATTTTAAAATTTAAACCATATATCTAAATACAAAACAAAGAAATTATGAGGGACATCCTAAAATAACTGAAATTATAAAGTAATGAAAATACTACTTATAAGAACTTGTGAGATATGGTAGAAATGTGCATTGAAGGAAGTTTTAGCCTTAGTTATATTAGAAAAGAAGAGGGGGCCCTCCCTGGTGGCACAATAAGTTAAAGCCCAGCACTGCAAGTGAGCTGCAGCCGCTTCAGTGCGTTCGATCCTCAGCCCCAGAGGTGACCCACATGACCTGGCAGACCTCTCCTGACCCACCCGAGGCTCCCCTCAGCAGTGTACTTTGTCGATTCTGGTCCCTAGTCTGACTCTAGTGAATCCTCTCACCACCCCTTCACCTCTGGCCTATACCCCAGTTCTGTATGCACAAATAAATCTTAAAAAAAAAAATGAGGGGGGTGAAAATGGGCTATGTGTTCAGGCTAAGAATAATAGAAAAAACAATAGGAGGGAAAAATGCAGCATATGAAATGTGTAGGATGGAATCATGCAAAATGCAGACTAAAGAATTAGACAAACATTTGGAATACTATGGAGATGAAAAGGTATACAGAAAGAATAAGGGAAAATAACAAAAGAAAAAGACAGATATGGGGACACTATTAATATATGCCAGTAAGGTTGAAAATTAGGAAAAACATAGAACTTACTAAAGCCGACAAAAAAAAGTAAAGCTTGTATAGTCATAAGATAGTAAACTGTTGCCAAAATTTTCCACAAAATTATCAGTTTCTATCAGAATCTCACTTTAAATTTAAAAAAAAGTATTATACAAGTACCAATAAAAATAAAAGTTGAACTATTTATATTAATATATAAAGAAGTAGACTTCAGAAGAATATTCTCCAGATTAAAAAGGAACATTAGGCCCTCCTTGGTGGCGCAGTGGGTTAAAGCACAGCACTGAGAAGCTAAAGCCACTTCCGCATGCCCTGGAGGTGACCA